CTGTGCGGCGCGAAACTGCCGTGCTGTTTCCCCCTGGCTGCCTCTTTGCCTGGGCTTGGTTAGAGTTTAACGGGTCAGGTTCGGATCGGAGCCGTTCCTGTATTGTCCAGCACCCACTGGTCATCGGGTCAGCCGGGAACGGCGCTGCTGCCCAGTGCATACCAGCGCACCCCGTGCCCCAGGGAGGGCGGAGATTTGCTTTCACCTCCAATCCGTTCAAGAGAACATCTCTTGACCAGACCCTGGGGGGTTTTCACGTCCCTGCTCCCAGGTTGGGTCTCACACCCTGACGGGGTCTCTGGCACGTGCCACCTCCTTCTTGCCTCAGTTTCCCCTGACAAATGACCCTGTTGTGAAAACATCCCTCTGCCGTTGCTGCAAGTTCTAGGAAAGCGTTGGCCAGTGATTTCTTCACAACAGGAGATTAATTCAGCTAGAAAATATGCCCCCCCCCCGGGGATGACGACATTAGGGCTGCATAATCCTTGCTGGGGTTACAGGGGAAGCGACCACCTAGAGGGAAAGCACCTCCAGCCACCTCCTGCAAGTACAGGGATGCTGGTGTTTTGGGGGAGCAAGGAGAGGGATTGGGGAGCTTTGTGCTCATTTTTGGGGTGTTGCCCAGCTCCCACCGATGCATTTGCTTTGCAGGGAGTCTGCAGCTCACCAGTGAGGCGGTGGGGGGACCTAGGGGGGGTTTCTTCTCCTTCTGCAGCAGGACCTTCCCCGACCATATGTGGTCGCAAAGCCCTGCACAAAGAGCCAAGGCTGGGGCAGCAGCAGAAAAACGAGTATAGATGGGGGGGGTTTTGAGCAACCCACCCCAAAGAAACGGGGCTGACAGAAGCCCGTGGCCCATGAAACGTGAATTTTGGCTTTCTGATGATAAGTCAGGGGACAAGCAAAACGCTTCTTCCCCCTGAGAGGCAGGGAGTCAGCCCGAATCCCAGACATGCCGGGGAGGACACGGCCCTAACCGCTCACATGAAAGCATCCTTTGAGGAGGCAGAGAGGGGGATTTATCCCTGTTTCAGACTGAGCTCCTTTTCTTTTAAGAGCGTGCGAGTGGTTTCCAGGGAAAGCATTGGAAATGCCGTTGATTGTGCTGTTAATTGCTTTGCAGGAGGTATACGGGGCCCCTCTTGACCTCAAGTACTATTTTAATTGCAAGATGGCCAAGTCTAAGACCAGATTACGGGGCCGCTGATGAGCTGCTCCAGCCACGGCCAGCGTTGCGGGCACACCTCTCTCCCCACCTCTCTCCCAGCCTGGTCCTCGTGGGTCTTCCAGTGTGGAGGGTGCTACGCGTGGGGTAAATTGTGTTTTCCTTCTCCGAGGTTTGTTGCTAATGAGCGTCCGTCTCTGCTCATCCAGGTCACTGGAACATCTTCCGAGCCCAGACGTCAGAGCTGAGGATGACAGAGAGCCCAGAGAAAGAAACAAAGAACTTGTAAAGAAAAAAACTTTAACCTAGCTATTGATTTATCTACACACACCCACACACACATACACACCCACACATATATAAGAAAAAAAAAAAAGTTGCATTATTAAATAGACTGGCACAGCAATAAAGGATACACTAGTGTAAATTACAGAAATTCCAGCAAAAGAACCAAATTGAACCGCATGGAAGCCACAGCCGTGGAGGTGCCTTGCTCCAGCGGGTGAGCACAAGAGGCCGGCCGTCATCTCCTGCTACCGAAGATGTTGGGTGTGCAGAGGGAGGAAGGAGAGATGGTGGAGATGTGAGAACCGGTGCGATGTGAAGAGGTGGGATACGTCCCTGGCACCCCGGCATTTCTGAAGAGCATCAGGAGCTAGCAGTAAAGCAGGACCAGACCGTGCTTTTTACCATCGCCGGCATAAAGATGACCTGCAAGGAGAGAAAAAATCATCCTTATTTACTTTCGTGGAGCCCCTGTGATCTGTAAAGGGTTTCTTTGGCTGAATACCCTCCAGAGGGTATTTCTTGAAAAATCTTGTGTCTTTTCTCCTCTGTTTCAGCTGGGAGGATTCTTTTCCCTTCTTTGCAGGTCACTTGAAGATGTAGTTTTTGGGAGGACCCACCTGCTGACAGGGTCTGAGACCCCAAACGCTGCACTAAGGTCGCTACTAAGCATGTTATTATGCTATATATTTATATATATCCTACATAATATCTACTGGGCTGTATTCACAGGAGGGGCATCTCCCAAAGGGCGAACAGGACCATTTCTGCAGTGTGGGGAGGAGGGGGTGCAGCAGCATCACCCTCCCCCTGTCTGGAAATAGCTTTGGGGGATTTTCAGGTTGTTTTGGTACATGTATTTATCCCTGGTTTCTTGTTTTATTCTGTTTTGATAAATCTATTTATTTGGAGATCCAGATCTGTCTGATAAATCTGATTAAAGCGTCTTCTTGATTCAGCCTCCTGTGCCGGCTCTCTTTTTCCCCGTAGGGTCCGCGTTACAACTCGGGGGGGCCTCGTTGGGACCCCCATCCCGGTGGGGTCTGATCCCTTTGCACTCACTCAGGCAACATCCTCAGGGTTGGGATGCGGGGTTGGGGCATGCAGAGAGCATCCCACGGCTGCTTTGCTTATCATCAGGGGATCATCCCGCCCCGCTTGCTTACGGCCCGCAGCCGGTTCGGGGCTGGAAACGGAGCTCGGGGCTGGCAGCGGGCACGGGGGTCAGGCGACGGCTGGGGGCAAACCTGGGCCAGGAAACGGGAGGTCCTGGCGCGCTGGATGGTAGCCCAAGCAAGCTGCTAAGTGAGTGCAGGTGCTCCCTCTTGGACAGGCAACCGCTCACGTGGGGCTATAAAAGGATCAATACGAGCAGCTCCCCCCCCGGGGGCGGCCGTGCCTTCCCCTTCTCTCCTCGTTACGCTCCCAAAAACCAGCGGTTGCTGCCACGCGCTCGGGATGTGAATGGAAACGGGGTCTGTGCACGGCCAAAGGACAGAGAAGCCAGAGAGCAAAGCGTCCGCAGCTCCAGCGGACCCGCAGCAAGGAGGAACCGGGGGGGAATCGGGGCAG